TGTGAATGTTGTGTGGGGGGGGGGGGAGGTCTAAAGTGAGGGGCATGTTATGAATGTGTAATGTGTGTAAAAGGAATGGTCAAAAAAGTTAAAAGGCCTCAGAACAGTACTTTTAAAAGATGATTGTTGCCATTATTACTTCGTACATCACATAACTAGCAATTTAAAAAAAAAATTTTATTAATAATAAAATGCAATATTTACTAGACCAAAGGAACTGAGTTTCTGCAACAAACTCAAATTTTCTAATTCCTTTATCATTTAAATCTGATGATGTAAACCTTAGATATTTCAAACTCTGACCTTTCGATCTCACAAAATTCATAGTTTGAAATATCAAAGGTGTACGACATTGGGTTGCACAGATATAGGGATTCTACATTTTGAGTTTGTGGCAAAAACTCATTTTCTTTGTAATTTGACCGACCCACAACATTTTTTTCTGGGCGTTTGGACGTTTTTTATACAAACAAACAGACAAAGTCAAACAAAAAAAACATTGCAAAAAAAGCTTAAAAATGTATATCTGTCCAGTAGACTGTAATTGTAAAGGTGATTAAGAGCAGAAAGATTAAGAAAATAAACTCAAAAGTGACGTGCGAAAAAAATTGGTGTTGTGAAATAAAAAAATTAATTGCATAGCTGCCATCCATTAAAGTTTTACACTATAGGTAAATATACACTTCTAGGCTTTTAGGGCGCTTCGCCCCCATCTTCTATTTCAATTGTATAACTTTGTATATATTGTAAAACAAAACCAAAAAAAAAAATTCCCGGATTTTATAAAAAGAAATTTGTGGATTTTCAAAATTTAAAAAAATGGAATTTTGTTGGAAGGAAACTTTTTGAAATTTTGATCTTTCATAAACCTTCCCTAGGGTCATTTTTTTCCCGATCGGTTCAGCCGTTTTAACATTTATTGGATACATACAAACAGGCAGACAAGCAAAATATATAATAGGTACAATGAAAACCATAAAAATCTGGAATAGAAAGTCTATTTTAAACTCAAGATATGACTTTAAATAGTCCAACGAACACGAGGTACAGCAATTGTGCAGTGTAAACAGACCCATTTTAATTAATACATGATTTATTAACTTTCTAGTAAAGCTATTTGCTTTGCGACAACATCAAATGCACTTCAGTATCCCTTTAATATCGTCTTCCTTTTTTCAGTTTTCTGGTTCTCATTGTTTATTAAAACAAAAATCTTTTTATTCAAAAAAATCTTTCTGTAAATATTTGATATTTATACAAGCCACCAAATAAAAACGAAATGATTTTTTGGACAAACTCACAATGGTTCTTTAAATCAGAATATACCGGACCATTCTTAAATAAGCTTGTTTGAATAAACTTGGCAAGTTTGTTTTGGAAAAAGTATTAAGGAGGGTTTGATTTTATAGAACCAGTTGTTTTTCTAAACTGAACCTGGATTTAGAAATGGTTTCAGATAGTTCGTGTTCATTTCCCAATATTTTCCCGCATTTTATCCATCTTTCATGATAAACAAATTCATAATCCTTCAAATCAATACGTTCAGGTCAAAACTTTTGTTTGTATTATCTTTAATCTTAAACGTCTAATTACGATATCCAATTGTGAACACTTTTAAATTTTAGGATAAAATCTTGATCCCGATCAAGTTAATTCTAGTTATCCCTGATATGGTATGCATGACCACCACAGGATATCAAGATGAATTAAATTCATCATTAGATTTACACAACACATAAAATCTGATCAATCTATATTTATATTTATTTCTTTTGAAGACCCCATAGGGATCTAAAGGTTGAAAGCTCCCATACAACACTCTATCAACATTTTGGAAGTAACTCCTTTTAAGCTAGAAACACCTGACTTGTAGATCTGAAATGGACATGTCTAGGGTTAGAATAAAATA